GGGCAACAAAGTGAGACTGTGTCTCAAAAAAAAAAAAAAGGAAAAAATAGGACCATGTTAGAAAAAATTACCAATAGTAGTGGCATAAGCAAAAGTGGGAATTCAAGAAAGTGGAAAGATTAGAGAAACTTTTGTAGCAGATATTCATTTGAATTGGACTTTATTTTTTTTTTTTTGAAGTAGAATTTTGCATTGTATGAATTGGACTTTAAATGATGAGTGAGAATGATTTTTACCATCACAGATACAAAAGTGACTTTCAGATAACAAAATTATGTGATCTTTCTAGCAGACATTGTTGGTTTATCTGCCTAGTCTTTTTTCCTTGCTTTCTATCGTGGAGGCTGAAAAAACTAAAAACTCACTTTCACAGAACCATTACAATAAAGGTCATATAATAGTTCTGGTGATCAGATATAAGCAGAAATCTGCTAGGGTCTCTCAGAAAAGTTTTTATCTCCTAGTAAAAGTGAAAGATGTAACTTCGCCTTTCCCTTATCCCCATATCTCCCATCCCTGACTTCCTCGCTGGAAGAAAATATGTTGTCTCTCAAGAGTTGCAAAGCCCCCTTTGAGAGAATCAAAACCAGGAGAGCTGCAGAGATGGTAAGGACAACAATAACTGCTAGCAGTTGGTTCCACTGATTTTGTTCTGTGAGACAAATAAACCCATATTTGACTCAGACACTGTTAATCAAGTTTTCTTTTACTTGAATCTGAAAGGATTCCTAACTGACATAAGCCTAAAGTCAAAATAATATCTATTTTAGATCAAGAACTAATTGTACAACTAATCTTTGTATATCACCTTATAGTTTATAACACATTTTTACACACTTCACTGAGTTACTAGACTAGAAAGAAATGTAAAGATAAAATCCTTGACTATTCAAGTACATAATTGTTTTGTCAAATAATATAGTAAACTGGAAAGCCCACTGTAACTGTTTACATTCTAAATACAGTCCTGTGTCGCTTAACAAGCATAGTTCTGAGAAGTGGATCATTAGGTAATTTCATCACTGTGTGAACATGACAGAGTGTACTAACATAAACATAGATGGTATAGCCTACTACATACTTGGGCTATACAGTATGACCTATTGCTTCTAGGCTACAAACCTATACAGCATGTTACTATACTGAATACTGTTGGCAACTGTAATACAGTGGTATTTGTCAATCTAAACATATACAAATGTAGAAAAGGTACAGAAAAAATATAATATAAAAGATTTTTTTAAAATGTTACTCCTGTATAGAGCACTTATTATGGGAGCTTACAGGACTAAAAGTTGCTCTGATTGATTCAGTAAGTGAGTGGTGAATGAATGTAAAGGCTAGGACATTACTATACACTACTGTAGACTTTATAAACACTATACACTAAATTTATACAAAATTTTTTTTCTCCAATAATAAATTAAACTTAGCTTACTGTAATTTTTAATTATAAATGTTTTAAATTTTTTAACTTTTTGGCACTTAGCTTAAAACACACATTGTACAGCTGTACAAAAATATTTTCTCTTTATATCCTTATTCTATAAGCTTTTTTTTTTTAATTTACTGTTTTTAGCTTTAAAAATTTTTTTAAACTAAGACACAAACACACACATTAGCCTAAGCCTACACAGGGTCAGGATCATCAATATCAATGTCTTCCACCTCCACATCTTGTCCCAATGGAAGGTTTTCAGGAGAAATAACTCACATGAAGTTGTCATCTCCTATGATAACAATCCCTTCCCCTGGAATACTCTTGAAGGACCTGCCTGAAGCGGTTTTACAGTTAACCTTTTTTATTTTTTTATAAGCAGAAGATAGTTGTTTTTTTTCTCTCTAGCAGCTAAACAACACTGGCCTCAAGATGAGCAATATCAAAACAATTGCAGCTCACCAACCACCAGACACTAACTGACCCACCTCCATGTTCCATAAGCCATAACCGCATCTTTCATCAGACAACAGATTGATTTCAGTAACTTTCTTCTGATCCTGATAAGAGACCAGCAACCATGGACTGGTTCCGGACAGTGAACAGAGGTTGTGCCCTGAGTGTTTTTGTGTCCCTGCTTTACCTTTTGATATATAGGGCCTAATTATAATACATTTAAATATTAAGTCTCCACCTCAAAGTAAACATGGGGTATATGTAACATGCCTGTTTACTTATTGCACCTGTGTGTGCACCGTCATGAATATTCATACCTCTTTCTATAACCTCTTGAATATGTATACTTAGCCAACCCATTCAGCATAAATTCATATCTCACTCTTTCCTCCTTCAAAGTGCCTGCTTCCAGTCTTTGCTGAAGGATAGACTTCCTAGCATGTCAGGATGGTCAGACCACAAGTTGTAACCCTTTATAAGAAATAAAGTTCTCCTTTCCATATTTATGAACTCTTTTTAGTCAACATAAGCAAGGCGCAAAGAAAATTGATCGTGAAAAATGGACTGAAAAAAATTAGATAAAAGGTCCACCAATGTAATAATAATGGATTCCAGCCAGGATTGGAGTAGTACCAGAATAGACTGTGATAAATTAAAAACAGATCCACTAATCTATAGAGCAATCCAAGAATAGATGAATAGATATACAATATAGCTAATTGGAATATATAAAATATAGCTAATCAAGAAGAAAAGTGAAAAAAATACTAAAAAGAAAAAACTAATCTAAAGAAGGCATAAAAAAAGGGGAAAGGAACAAGAATATATATGACAAATAAAAAACAAACAGCATAAAGGTAGACTTAAATTCAATCATATCAGTAATTAAATTAAATATAAATGGATTTTATATATTGATTGGGGTAGTGGTTACACAAGTGTATACATTTGTCAAAACTCATTGGATTGAGGCCCGGCGCTGTGGCTCACGCCTGTAATCCTAGCTCTTGGGAGGCCGAGGCGGGCGGATTGCTCAAGGTCAGGAGTTCAAAACCAGCCTGAGCGAGACCCCATCTCTACTATAAATAGAAAGAAATTAATTGGCCAACTGATATATAGAGAAAAAATTAGCCGGGCATGGTGGCGCATGCCTGTAGTCCCAGCTACCCGGGAGGCTGAGGCAGAAGGATCACTCGAGCCCAGGAGTTTGAGGTTGCTGTGAGCTAGGCTGACGCCATGGCACTCACTCTAGCCCGGGCAACAAAGTGAGACTCTGTCTCAAAAAAAAAAAAAAAAAAAAAAAAAAAAAAAAAAAAAACTCATTGAATTGGGCTTTAAAAGCGGGAAGTTTTTATTTCTGTAAATTATACCTTGATTTTTAAAAATGGAGGAGAGTTTTAAGGAGCATAAGCAAACAGTGTAAAATGCCTCAAAAAGGGAGATAACCGATCATTGAAAAGAATTTGTTTCAATACAAAAAATTGTTGGTGATTTTAGAAAACTTTTATTGAATCACATTAAAAGAATCACTTTATTTTGAAATCATCACAAGATGATTTCATCCTTTTCAAGATGGATTTGAAAATCCATCTTTTTAGTCATATTAGAATGAGAAATTCAAATAGAGAAAGCATAGACTTTTCTGTTTCAATTAACGCATCTCAAACTTTAATGTGCATAGGAATCGTCTGGGGGGCTTGTTCAACTGCAGGTACTTATTTTGAGGGATCTTGGACGGGACCTGAGAGAGCCTACAGTTCTAACAAGACATCAGGTGATGTCAGTGTTGCTGGTTCTTCCACTGCACTTTAAGCAGCAAGAGTACAGACCACTTTGCTGAGGAACTGATGACTTATAGGAAGTGCCAATTTGATCCAGAAGTTTTTTTAATCTATGGAATCCATTCCTACCGCCAGTTCAAGAATACTCACACGTAGACTGACAACCCAGGCCCCTTTCTACTAGTGAGTGTAACCAGAACAGGTGCTTATGATGCTGTGGAAAATAACCGTGATCTTCTGTCAGCAGTCGGGGGTTCAAGTCCCAGCCTCTGTTTCTAACCGACTGTGAGATAACCTGGGTCATTTACTCCTAGGCTGCAAAACGAGAGAACACTTCCCGTTTCTCTTCTCTAGACTATTGTGAGGAGTACAATAGAAAATGTAAGTGAAACTATTGCCTGAAACCCTAATCTAAAAAAAAAAAAAAAGTAAAGCAGAGACTTTGAGAAAGGGGCGGAACCTAAAAATAAAAGGTAGGGATCCGGGATTATCCCCGTGGGTGTGCAAGGAATGTACCATGTTGTGGGGGAGGGGTGACCTATTTAAAAATAATCTATAAAAAAGCTTCTGTATTTAAAATGACGCCTATACCATGACACGAGAAACACGAACTTTTCTTTCCTTCAGCATATACTTCAACTGGCACCGAACTAAAAGTTCGGTGATAGTGTTTTGCTTCAGCCTCCTGATTTGAGACAAAGTCCTACCCACGCATCTGTGTCCCTTTCTCCCATCCACCCGTCACTTTCCTGCCCCCGCCCCCCTGCGGCCCCCGCCTCGGGGCAGTAGTTTGCACTACGCTGAAGGGGAGGTGGCGACGGACTCGTCTATCTGCGCACCTCGAGGAGGGGGGCGTGAAGAGCCACGGCTCAGAGAACGGGAAGAAACTCCGGCCAAGAGACAACAGATCGCGGAAGGCAAGTCGCGGTTGCGCCGTCGGTGCAGACGGGCGGGAGCGGGGCGCGCAGCTGCCCCGCGAGCCCGCAGCTCTGCCCCCGGCCGCGCCGCGGTCCCCGCAGCCTTCGCGGGATGGCGCCGGCGGGAGAGGGCGGGGCCCGGCGCGCGGCGGCCGCCTCCGCTGCAGCCGCCTCCGCTGCGGCCGGAAACAATAGTGGAGGAGCCCGAGCCGCGAGGAACGGCGGCGGCGGCTGCGGCCGGCGGAGCTGGACGGTAAAGAGCCCGCACCCCTGCTTTTGCCCTGCCCGCGCCTCGGCCCCTAGCCCTGTCGTCCCGCCTCCTCCGAGCCCCGAGCCCCGCCGCCCCTCGCGCTCCTGCGCGCCCCGACGGTCGGTGGTCGGACGGACGTGGGTCCGCGACAGCCTGAGGGGCGGGCGCACGCCCCCAACGCCGAGGCTGGGCAGGGACCCGGCTTCCCTAGACGCTGGGGCTCGGCACACCGGCCGTCGTGGCCCTCGGACGCTTTTTCCCTGCGCGGGAGGAAGCCCGGGGCGATGGGACGCGGCGCCCCAGCCAGCCGCGCTCCGGGATCCCGCGGCTCCCCCCCGCCCTGGCTCCGGCCCCTTTGGCTGTGCCCGATCCCGACCGGGGAGCCGCCGTTCGGCCTTGCGTGTAGGTGCCTCGGACGCGGCCGGGACGCCCTCCCCGGGTGTTCGCGTTTTCCACGTGCGTTTTCTGCCGCAGACCTCGGATGACAAGCCTCGCAACGCCAAGTTAGCGAAATGCATCCAAGGTTCCCACGATGAAGTTAGCGAAGCAGTGTCCCGTGCAGGTCGCTTTTGTTGCATCTAACAGCGTGAAGTAGGGTGACAGAACCCGGCAGCTGGAAAGGCCTCGCTGCCAAGCTCTCTGTGCTTGAGTACTCCAGGTCGGGGGACGGAGGGGGAAGACTGGAATACCCGCGAACAGCTTTCCCTCTGATCCCCTTAACCAAATGAAATGTAGTGCACAAAAGACACTTGGGTGTAGTGTCGCCTATGCCCAGGCGTTAAGTTTTACTGGCACAATGAAAGTATAATATTGAAGTGCAAGAATGACGATGCTTGTTTGATTAGAGAAACTGAACAACTGAACAACGTCCTTGTCGTTTCCTAGAAGTTCCCAATATTGCCTGCCCTGCCGTAGACGCAAGTTCTTGAAATGGTGTAACTTTCCTTTTCTGTTTCTTAATAGGGGCACTATGAACGAAGAGGAGCAGTTTGTAAACATTGACTTGAATGATGACAACATTTGCAGTGTTTGTAAACTGGGAACAGACAAAGAAACACTCTCCTTCTGCCACATTTGTTTTGAACTAAATATTGAGGGTAAGGACACAATATAGTTTTGATTTTATGGCATGACCTGTGCATTACTACTTTTATGCGAACTGGCTGTAAGATAAAACTAAAATATTTTGAGTGGTTGGAAATCGTGCTAACTATGAAATACAGAGATCTGTCAAAGATAAGGGTTTCTGAAAATGGAGCAGGAGTTAACAGTTATAAATGTAAGAGAAATCTTTGTTTTTTAAACACCCACAGTACCAACCCCATTTTTGCTAATATAAAAATGAAGTGAGTATTGGCTGGTAAACATGTTTTCTGGTGCGAAAGCTTATTAAGTTGTCAGATTTTAACAGATGTGTTTTTTGTATTGAGAAGTAACATAACAATTTACATTGATGGGTGAATGTAATTTTTTTCCTTTGGGCCTATCATGCAAGTACTTAAGTGAGGTGAGCCTGTTTTTCCACCAGTGCTGTCTTATCCAGAAAAGTGTTTTAGTGTTTTTAGATAATATCTTTTCAGTAATCACACACACCATTAGTAATTTTTTAAAACTGAAAAGGTTTTTAAAATTTCTTAATAATGTCTCTAAGATATATGAAGAAAAGTTCTCCAAATATTTTTTTTAAATCTTACTGAAAGTTTTCATTCTAATTGATACACAGTTATTGTGTTTATGGACATCAGTAGTTTATTTCCAGGAAACATGGGATGTTTCCTTAATCTTAATGTTGTCATGTTAGAACTAACACTTTAAAAAAAAAAAACTTAATATTCCTAAAAAAAAAAGTTTGCCTGTAATTTGAGTTGTAACATATAAGTAGAGAAACTTTATTAGACCTTTAGATTTTGGACAGTTTCAACTCAGTATTTCTTTTTTCCTGATTATATATTTGAAAATTTTCATGATCTTTATTTTTTCTTTGGTCAGTAGGGGCTATGAAATATTCTTAAAGTTTAAAAACTGCATTAAGATTATACACATTGAAATTCTTCTTAGGACTTGTTATTCAGAAATTGTTGTGGTCACCAAACAGTATGTGATGGAAGATTATGGATTTCATGTGTGTTAGAAAGAATAGCTATAACTTTGGCTTTAGTAAATGTAGTAATAATAACTAATTTCAAAAGGATAACTTAGCTGGGCAGAGTGGCTGGTGCCTATAGTCCCAGCTGCTCGGGAGGCTAAGGCAGGAGGATCCCCTGAGCCCAGAAGATTGAGTCCAACCTGGGCAACATAGATTATCTTTAAAAATAAAATAAACTAAAAAGGATCACTTAAGGCCGGGCGAGGTGGTTCATGCCTGTAATCCTAGCACTCTGGGAGGCTGGAAGATGGCTTGAGCTCAGGAGGTCAAGACCAGCCTGATCAAAAGAGCAAGAGTGAGACCCCATCTCTACTAAAAATTAGCTGGATATCATGGCACAAACCTGTAGTCCCAGATACTCAGGTGGCTGAGGCAAGAGGATCACTTGAGCCCAGAAGTTTGAAGTTACAGTGAGCTACAATGATGCCACTTGCACTCTACCTAGGGCGACAGAGCCAGACTCTATGTCTAAAAAAAGGATGACTTAAAAATGTGATTCTTCTGTAGTATTTGAATTACCATGCTCTTAATCATGCAAGAGTGAAAAATCTAAATTTACATTCTTTGGGAATAGAATTGGCCCTGTATATTCTGATACATTGTAGAATTTTAATTTTAGATGGGCAAAGACATGAAAAATTATTCAGTCCAAACCCTATTTTTGCATTTAAGGAAACTGAGAGCCAAATAGTTGGACTACTCAAGGTCACTGTAGTGATGATGGAAAGCTATTGTTATGTGCCAGGTGCTATGCTAAGCACCTTATGTAGATTATCTTATTTACTTCAAAATAGCTCTGAGATGACTATCATTATCCATTTTAAATGTGGTGGCACTGAACCTTGGAGACCTAAGAAATGCACTTTGAAGTCACACAGCTAATAATTGACAGTCCTGGGCTTTGAAGTGTGACTGTCTAGTTCTGGTATATGTGATCCTAATTCTATTGATCTATTATCAATAATTATTTTAATTTATAAGGCTCATGTTAAAAACCTTTCCTCCTAAATTCTAATTTGGCTATCCTTGCTATTCAGTCAGCCAACTTTTCCTAACCAATGCTTCCTGCTAAATCATCATTAGAAGGATTCATGTTGTGATAGAATTTTTCCACACAAACTTAAATTTTTGTAATTATTTTTCTAGCCTTTTAAAATATGCCTTTTTAATTTGTTCTCAATCATTATATTAAAAATGTATAAAACATTCCTCAGGTACCATCTTTATACACATTTCAGCTCTGATAATATCTCAGTTTGTAAGCGTGATGTTAAGTCCTGTTTTCTCTTTTTGGAAATAATAGTTGTCTTCAGTTTAAAGGACAATTTCCAATTTGAAATAGAACAATTTCATTTAATACTCTATGTATACTCAAGGTTTATATATTAAAATGCCAATTTAACCTTTGTGAGAAAAATGAATTAAATAATTTCTTCTTGGTTTATCTGGTGTCAGCTCTCATGAATATATATTTTCACTTTTAGTGCAGTGACAAGCTAGTGCATTATAATTGTTTTAATATTATAAAATTATTGTAGAATTAGAGCAGGAAAATAAATACCTTGAATTCCACAAAATTTTACTTTTTATATCACCATAGAGATCATTAAAAATCAATGGAAAAAAAGGTGATAATAATCATATACCAGAAAAATAACAAGTTATATTCTTTGTCAGTAAACTTTAAAAAATATCTTTGAAGTTTTCTTTCTTCTACCAAGTTCCCAGCACAATACTAGTCAATAGACTAGAATGTAAGAAGGACTTTTAAAAAATGACATTTAACTTGAATAATTTGGTATAATTTTTTGAAGGGGAGTATGGTAATATTGCTGTTGCCTGGCTTTTAGCTTACTAATTGCTAAATTTGCTCTAAAGCACTCTTTTCTCTGAGAAGAGGCTTAGTAAAAATAAATTCTCTCAAAGCATAACAACAATTAGGCTAGTTCTGAGTCCACACATTTGTAGTAAACAAAAGTAATATTTTTTGCTTTTTGGATTGTTGCTTACATCAAATCAACACTGGTCTCCTAATCAACTGGCCTCTTATTTAAGAGCTGTGTGTATGCATATGTTTATAAATGAAGACAAAGGAAGAAAGAGAAATAACAAAAGACTAATCTTGTTGGACAGAGTTTGTATTCCAGACATGGCTCTAAATTGTTATTTACAAATAATTTTAACCTAGTGTATCTATTTGTGGTAGCTCTTTGCTATTACTGTCTCATCTGTGTAGTAGGCAAAATAATGATTTGTGTGTACCCATCAATCTAAATCTCAGAATGAAAGCTGTGTGGTTGAGTTCATAGCAACTTTAAGCATATTTGTTCAATAAATATTAATTGAGCAACTGTTATATGTCATAAATTGTTCTAGTATCTGGAGATAAGGTAGTTAAAAACATAAATCCCTGCCATCATGATGCTTACATGAGAGGGGGAAAAGATAATATAATAAATAGATTATATGTAGTGTATTAGAAGGTAAGATAGGATTATTTGCTTTTATGAAGATAAGACATTAAAAGTACCTTCCAGCCTACAGTGCTATATAAATATTACTCAGTGACATTCTTAATATCTATCTTAAACTCATAATGACTGGCAGAATAATATCTACCATTAATTTAATAAATGATAATTTCTAGTCTGTTCCAAAAATAGAGCCCATATGTTGAAGATATTTGGTTGTGTTATTGGGGGGAAGTGGTTCAAAATTAACATGAATTACTCTTTTGCTCATACTTTTATATTTCTATCTTTAAATTTTAAAGATGATCTTTTAGTATCTTTAAGTATTTATTAATAGGACAATGGAAAATATTAAAGTTTTGTATTCTTACTACTTCCTTACTAACATCGTTTGTCAATAGTATTTACCCTGAGAATATTTCTGTTATATCTTCATAAGTTTGAACATGTTAATTTGACTGAACAGATTATTTTCAATTTATCTAGATCAATCAACATTTTGGCTCTATTTTTACTACAAAGTAGAATAAATACAGTAAAGATAAAATGTAATTTCCACATAATATATCAGAAAGTTCTCTATAAAAATCAGTTTTAAATTACAAGCGTATTTATTAGCCAAATGCATTGGATAAATATATCATAAGGATCTTGGAAAAGAAATGAAAATCTCACAATTCTCAGTTGTTGAGACTGAATATAGAACAATTTAATTTCATGCTTCTTGTAGCTTCTGTCTTTTTCACTTCCCACTCTTCTTAATTCATCTATTTACACTCTCCTCCATTTGTTTTACTTTATACTGACTCATCAGCTTGCCAACCTACAGTTATCTTCCATGTAACCTGACAGATTGGCCAAAAGCATGATTAGAGTAGCAGAAATGCTCATATCTCCCATAGTTAAAAGAAAAAAAAATCAAGGAAAACCTTTTCTCTCTTTCCCTTAAAACAGCTCTTGAAAGAGCAGTGTTCATTCGGAGTCTCTTCTGTATCTCCCACTATTCTTCAGCCTCTTTTAATTTGCAAGCCTCTTTTGCTTTCACCAGTGACAACGTAGCTATTAATGCAATAGTTTCATGTTCTTGCAACTTCATAGTCTGACATTTAACATTTCCCTCTTCCCTGAAATACTCAACTCCCTGGATTCTGTGATGAGGTAGCTCTGGCCTCATATTGCTGCCCACTTTTCTGTCATCTTCTCAGGTTCATTGCTTACTATAAGTCCCTCTGTTTTTGTCTGTCTTTTTCTTCTCATACTGCACTTTATGTGTGTTTTTGTTTTTTTTGTTTTTTTTTCCACTGCCATGGCTTCAACTATACATCTGTAAGCTAGTAAGCTTAAGCTGGAACTCCACAAACATATTGCCAGGACAAATCTTTCTTCTAAGCTCCAGACCCTTATAGCCAACCTGCTAGACATCTCTGTGTCGATCTTATGCAGGTGTCTTGAACTTAAGTTTCTTGAACTAAACATATCT